TGCATTTAACAACTTGAAAGAGATTCATATCGAGAACCCTGCATTTAGCCATGACATTTCATCCACATTAGTACTTCCGTCCAAAAATAACGACTTTCCATTCTTTTGAATCATCCTTTGACCTCTTGGCAAAAGAAATTGAGTAGCTTTGAATACTTCTTTTTAAATATAAGAAGATTCCAACTTTGCAAGAAGGAACTTCTTTCATTTATCTGAATCATCAGAACACAATATGTAAGTATATTAATAAGTCCCTTTAGCATTTTTATCAATGCATAAGTTGTCCAAGGACATTATTAAATTCCTTTTTCATCGGTTATCACCCACGTATCCATATATATATATATANTTTAAATTCACAACTTCATGGACCTCCAGAATGAAACTGCAATATTTATTTAGCAAGGTATGTTTATTTAATTTTTATAAAGAGTAAAACAACAATTTTCTACCTAAAAAGGGTAACATGTATTATTATTATCTTTTTTCTCTTTTCTCTCTTTTGACTCTTTCAAAACGAAAATACTGAGCAAAATCTGTAAAGAACTGAGCTCGTGAAATGGTAACATTTCCATTCCAACGTCTATTTTTTAACGCCCACATTACTTTTAAAAAATATTAATTTTCTTTCTTTTGATTCTCATCCCTTCTCTAAAAAATCTGACAATTGATTAAAGTCATAACTTTTTTTATCAACTCTAAATAAATGTGCCAAATCTGAAAAAGAACATGGTTTAGTTTTTTCCTTTGGTACATTTCTTAACAAAAGCTTCGTTAAATTAATTTTGCCTTTAATTGTCTTTATTTTACAAGTTGCTGGTTTTTAAGACTACTTTAGGTTACTTCTTTTTGATAAGGCCAGTTACAGCCAGTGCCGTTTTATAAGTTACATATACACTGCTAAACAAATTTAACGCACCACTCAATTTATTTAGTTTAAATTAAATCCATTATCTTTCCACATTAGTTGCAATAATTAGGAATTATCATACTCAAAATAAACAATAAATAATGCTTTGTTTACTTTTGTACTGATTAATCCCATTTGCAAAAAAGTAGCATTTTTCTCCACCTAAAAATCGCTTTCAGTTAATCTTTTTCATTCGATGTCATTCTTATTCTTAAACCTTTGTCAATGGCACCAGTGTGGCATTTGAGTGAGTATGGCAGTGTCTGGGGTATAACATTGTTAGAGGAAAGTTGCAGCCAGCGCAATGTCGACAAGAAACTAAATTGTAAATCACTCTCCAATATAAAGAAAGGATTCTTTGGTGCTTCAGAGAAACATGGCTTCATATTAGAAGGCCAGGACAGGATCGACCTAGGTCTATCGACGGTAGATAGACACTTCCGTCATCAGGCGCTACGAAACCGCAGCATTACGGGAAATGAGATAAGAAATCTGATAAAACAAATCCAAAATGTTTCGATTTCCTCCAGGATTGTAAGAAGAAGGCTCAATGAAAATAACTTCAGGGCCCGGCACTCGGCTGGTGGACCTCTTCTTTCCACAGCTCAGAAAATGACCAGGCTTCAATTCGCACGGGAACATGTGAATTGGACCATTAGAAGAGTGGGGACGAGTTCTCTTAACAGAAAGATAAAAGTTGGCCTGAAATCTTCAGATGGGCGTACGGAGACACCAGGAGGAAGGTACGACCCCATGCTGTGCGGCTCCTCAAGTGCCTTTCAACGGTGGGTCACTGATGTTCTGGGATGGCATTTCCTTGGACGCCCGCACCCAATCGGTTCTTGTGCGAGGAAGATCTCTAACTTTAGAGAGATACTTACAAGGCATATTCGAAGAACATGTAGTGCTATTTCCCCCATCACATTGGTGAGAGTGTCTTGCTAATGCGCAGGATAATGCCAGACCCCATAGAGCACGCATTGTGGATGACTACCTGAATGAGGTTGGCCAGCTCAAAATCCAGATTTGAACCCAATCGAACATATTTGGGACCAACTTACGCGACGAGTACGACCGCGAAACCCAGGTCTTAACATCCTATAGTCATGTATTACGCAATGACAACTGTGGCACTAAAGAATGTCCATTTAATGGTGAACCACACTCCTTTTTATTAAATAACAAAAACAAAACCTGGCCAAACAATATTGTACATTCAACGAGGTCACAACCTTTTTAAGAAGATAAAATCTATATATTATATATAGATCGGTAGATATCGGTATATTTAATATATTACTTTTAAATCATCAATTGCATTTGTGTATTTTTTCAATAATTTACGATTCCTATTTTTGCACAAGCTTCTTCAATCCCCTTTCTTTCGAAAACTCAAAATTACTTCGCATTTGAACTAAGCTAAGATAGATTATTAGCTTATTAGATAATAATTATTCAGAAAGGTCTGGTGTGATGTGAAAAACATTTTCTTTATCGTGCCAGCGTTTCGATCTTTATTGAGATCATCTTCAGGGCTCAAAGTGTTTGTCTTCTGTGTAATTGTGCCATTATTGCGTGTCGTGTTGAGAGTGCTTGTATATTATTAGATAATATAATAAGCTAGATTAAACATTTTGAAAAAAAAGATGAAATAAAATTCTTACCTTTTTACATTGCAAAATGTTCTAAAAGCTTAAAGCTAACAAAAATTTAATGTCGTACTTAGCCATGACATTTCTTCGGCATTACGTTTTTTTAATGATCCGGAATTCCTTTATTTTGGAAAAATTGTAATAAAATAATTCACTTAACCAAACAATTCACTAAAATCGATGAAGGTGTGACCTTTCTATAATTTGGTACACTGAACCATCAACAGCATTTAATAACTTTTGCATATTTTAAGTAAAAATGCCTACTTTGATATGCTGATCTTCTCATTTGAAACCTCAAACTACTAAATTATTACGTCAAACCCACAATGATAAAAAAACTAATCTAAACTGACTAATTGTTGGACTAAATTTCCTTTCATTTGGACGATCCCACCAATTGCCCCAAATTTATTTCACGACATAACAATTTCCTAATTAATCCAGACGTAAGCAGTGATTTTTTTTTTTCAAAAATAAAGTTGATCTTTGGTACATTTTGAAAGCGTCTTTTTAAAAGTTTCAAATTTTCCATGACATTTATACCACAATACTACCTTTCAAATATTCGACTTGTTTTTCAACAATCAATACCCTTTACTAAATAATTGCTCCAAATCGGTTAAGACAACGTTAATAAAATAAAATTTCCACAATGGCACACCAAACTACTTTAATTCTATGATCTCTTTAACTGAATCAAAATTGCAAAACATTTGTGAAAAATTCCTGCCTTGGAACACGAAAACCTATCACTTTTGAATAATTTACAGCACAAAGCGTTGAACCAAATCTGTCTGGTAATTAATGAGTTAAAATGACTATTTTGCTACACTGATCTCTTTTTAATCATCAATGATAGTAACCTCCTAATTATTTTATCATCAATAAAACTGAAAAAACATAACTTTGATACGCTTGTCTCTTAAAAACCAGCAACGACACTACATAAGAATTCTAAACTAAAAAAAAACTTGAGCATTGCTTCAAGGGGATGAAATCCCAACTTTGGTACATACATTTCAAAACTGGGAATTCCATATCAATAGAAATAGTTTTCGTTGGTGAAATTTTGTACTCCAATAATCACTTTTGAATCATCAATATTACTAACCAATCAGCATTCCAAGAAGATAAAACTACCAATTTGACATATCAAACTTTTAATTTTGGACTCTTTTGGATCCTCAGTGCTAGAAACCTCCTCATTATTTAATCATCAATAACACTAAATGATCAATTCCTAGGTTTATGCATCTCAAAACAACCATGAACATATTGACAATCCAAGATAATGTAACTGTTTCTTTCTAAAAAAAAATAGACAGTTATGAGTTTACATCATAAAACTATCATAAAACTACACTGATCTCTTTTGAATCCTCAATGCTAGTAACCTCTGTATTTAATCATCAGTATCACTAAAAAAGCTTTCTTGTTGTAAGCTTGGCTACAATGATTTCTTTTTGATCAAATGATAGTATCTTCCCTGTTAATTTAATCATCAATAATAATAAAAAATGGTAAATCATTACTTTGGTATGCCTAATAACTTCGATGGATTTATTGGGAATCCCAGAAAATCCAATTGTGTTTCTTTCCAAAAAAATGGACGAAATTCTGTACACGTTTTGAATCATCAAGCACATTTCGTGCTTTTTTTTGTTATTAGTTCAATCATAAAATTATACTTTGCTACACTGATCTCTATTGAATCATCAATGCTAGTACTTACTAATATTTAATCATCAATAACTCTAAAAAAAGATTATAAATCATTACTTGGTGGATCTGAAAACTTCCGTGGACTTATTGGGAATCGTTGAACCAGAAGTTTTTATTTCTAAGCGTTTTCCCGGCAATGTTGGCAGGCGATGGGGTATTTTTGAAACAACGCTGTCAGCATTTTGATCACGCCTGTCTCCAACTGTCGGGGGCCTTTCCTTTTCTTTTACCATCCAAACTTATTTCTTTAATTTTCTTACAAGTTCATTTTGTTTTAAATTTATTAACCAGTCTGGGTTGTTTAGTTTTTCTGGGACTATCGAAATTATAGAGTGACCCCGGTGTGAAATATACATTTTGAAGACTTATAAAAGAAGATCTTTGTTCGTGTTTAGATGGGAGGCAAGGATAAACTTTGATATCACTCGCAAGCGATTTATAAATCATCTTTCCTTGAAACTAATTTTATTATATTTATCTCGTTTTGTAAGTTTTTCTTTTTATGGTTTAGCCGCTTTTTAATTTAAAAGTAGGCAGATAAAGCCTTTTAAATAAGAAATTAAACGGAATCGGCACCACAGGCGGAGGGCGGTCAAATTCAAAAATTGGCGTCGGACGTAGGCGAGAAGACGTCCCGCTGTTAATCCAGCGGTCAATCCTTCGACGGACGAGATAAGATATGCCCCGAGTGAAGTAAAGAAATAAGAAAATACCTTTTAAAATCCGGTCCGCTTTACCTGGCCAGGTCTGGGCCTTTTCTCCGAACGGCACTCGACACAGAACTCGCGTTTTTCCTCGATTTCGAGATAATTCGACCCAGAGTCGGCCACAGAACAAGAGCACATGAAGTTCACACCGATCTTAAGAAAACACTGGAAGGGAAAACTGTTCTCCGTCCCAATCGCCGACCACGTCTGGCCAGTTCGCCGAGATCAAGGCTCTATCGATTGCCGGCCCAATCGATCCGACTGATTAAACCACTTTCAATCTTCTCATTCGGACTTTGTTTTTAATTAGTGAATTTTTTCAAGTTGTTTATTTCATAAATATCACAAGTTTGAAGAAAAAAACCGGATATTAATCGATTTTGAATGATTCAAGATGTCAGTGGAGAAAAAGATCACCAGCCAAGTTCTCGCCTTGTTCTAGAGAGAGCGCGAGCTGATGACTGCCGACAGGTACCTTTCGGTTTTGTACATTTTACCACTTAATAGAAAAATTCTAATATTTATCAAATTTCTAGCTTCCTAACCAACTGCTACTTTAATATTAAAATTGAGACAATACTTTCTAGCCAGTATGTTTTTCTATCAATTTAACACTTATGTAAATTTATTATAAGAAATTATTTGGCTCCAGAAATTGTTCATTCCGTAGACTAACCGGTGTATACATCATCAGCATGAATTATGAATACAGTACAGAAAATATTTTTCTAAAGCATTGCTATATGTTTGGGTGATAAAATCTTTCGGATCTGATAATGATAGAATAAATCACAGAAAGCTTGGTACAGCCCAAAACGGTGTTTTTGCTCCATGTGACCAATAAAGAAGATCTTATCACCCAAACTTAACTAGCTGCAGCTCGATAAACATCCAAAACCTACATTGCTATACAGTTCACTACTCAAATTCGGCCAAACCTGTCAAGGCAGTGTTCCTTTAAATGTGAGAAAATTGTTGACACCCTAAGCCAATCATTCAATAAATAGTGACCCCGAGAATATTTTACTATTAATCAGCAGGAAATATCAATATAGTACAGCAAATATTTTTTCTAAACTATTGCTGTACTTTTGGTTGATAAGATCTTTTGGATCTGATAATAGTGGAATAAACCACCAAAAGCTCGCCACAGCCCAAAAAATTATTTTTGCTCCATATAACCTCTAAAGAAGGTCTTATAACCCAAACTCAACTCGCAGCACGACAATAAACATCCAAAACAAATATTGCCATACAGTTCACTGCTAAAATTCAGCCAATCCTGTCAAGACAGTGTTCTTTTTTTTGTGTCCCTTTGAATGTGAGAAAATTCAAAAAGTTCAGCAAATATTTTTCTAAACCATTGCTATATGTTTGGGTGATGAGATCTTTAGAGGTCATATAGAGGAAAAACAACTTTTTGATGTTATAATTAATTAAGTTTTTAGTTGAGATAAAAAAGTCAATGGCACGAGCGGTATTCGAACCCACGATCTTTGGCCTGATACGCCGCTGCTCTACCACTTGAGCTATTGTAACCTCGATCCACTCGGACACCAACTTCCCATCTCAACCCCCACCTTTCGAATTTTCCCTCCTTTTTTTTATCTCAACTAAAAACCATAATTAATTATAATATATTAATTGGTCAAGCGGACCACGAAATTAGTGAATTTTTTTATCTGTGCTGGGCATGGTGTAATAAACCACTGAAAGATGGGTACAGGCCAAAAGGTTTTTTTGCCTCCATATGACTGCTAAAGAAGATCTTAACTTGCTGCAGGATAAACATCCAAAACAAACATGGCTATAGAGTTCACTACTGAAATTCAACCAATCCTGAAGCAAGTCGATAAACATCCAAAAATTTTTACTTCTTGAAGTATCTTTGATATCTTGGGCATTTTTTTTTTTTTTTTTGACAATTAATACAAACAATTGTCATAAGAAATTTTTTTCTTCAAAATTTCAACTGGGTGTATTTTACACTTCTGAAACATATTAAACAATTTCTAGACTAAATACTAGTGAGGAACTTTGTAAGTTAATAAAATGCATACATTACCATTGCCAAAGGAGTGTACAATTAATCCATGCAATAACAACTTCAAACCACTGATTTATAAATTGAATGTCACAGTAGACTCTCATAATCTGCGCTTTCACTATCTGTAGTTGCCCTCCTAGTTGAGTCTATTATTTGGCGCCTAATAATTTTTTCTCATTTGTTTTGATGTATTTCTTCTAAAGTTTGCACCTCTTTGCACGAGAACTTCATTATATATTATTGTTTAGGTAAATTCAAAAATCTATTAGTTCCAGCAGATTTCTGAATTTTATTCATTATTCAATATTAATCACCTTTCCAAATCAATTTATTTCGTGGATCTTTTGGTCAATATTTTGATCATAAGTTGCCAGTCATAATCCGTTTAGTGTATAATAAAAGAATAAATGTGGAAACTAACTTACAAGCCAAATATTATATATGATTGCTTAGGTAAATTCAAAAAGCTTTTAGTTCCAGCAGATTGTCTTTATTTATGGAACACTCCTTTCACTCACCTTATGAGCATCATCAGCCTTCATTAAAACAAAACAGTACAGAAAAGGCAGAACTTATGTATGTTACTGTGCATTGTACTTTTCTTATTATATTAGATGATCTAATGATAATCACCTGAAAGTCAAGGTTTTTCCTATTATCCATGGTTCTTTTTATCCGAGGAGATGTTTGGTACGTATCTCCCGTGGATAAAGAGAGTCTACTATATTTGTATTTATTGATAGCTCTACGTGATTAAATAAGTAAATCATAGTTGAAATCTGTTTGGAATAAAGCGAAAACTGATATAACAATAGTTTAATATGGTTTTATATTAATAATAAAATTATACACAAAATACATTATTATAAATGCGCTTCAAACTACAAATGCATTATGTTCATCAGTGATAATAGTTGAATGTTTATGAGCTGTCAGTGACTGACAGAAAGTTGAGATCCCATTCTATGTGAGCGTCTCGCCTTTGGTGACCCTCGCTTCCAAGTATTCGATCCTCCTTTCCAAGGTGGTCAACTTTTCGTTGAGGGCTGCCAGCCGCGATCTGCACGACATGTCGAACGAGTTGAGGAAGTCTGTGATCTTCTTGATGCTCACTGTGATCACCTCGATGTACTCCCGGTTGGCCCAGTCCTGCTGAATCTGCTTCTGGATGGCTTCCGAATGTCCAGTGGCCATCATCTTCTTTCCGGGTCCTTTGATTTTTTCACATCAGACAAACTAACTGGAAAAAATACAGTAAACAGTATAAAACAGGTTGATAAGCAATGACTAATGTTTGGAATAGCTTTAAGCTTGCTGCTAGTCGAGCAAGAGTAGCGCTTTCTACATGCACAATAGGAAGCACTGAAAGTGGGACCTAGTCCCTGCGAACTATAACTACTGTAAGTTATTGTATGCACTGGAAAAAAACAAAACAAGAAAATCATCTGTATTCTTAAAAATCTACCTGTCTAATGAAGTGATCAACAGGTGGTTTGCAAATTTCTTTAAATTTATGATCATGATCTTCCTGATGTACAATCTTTGATTTACTTATACATATATTTAAATTTTATTTTATATATGTACAAAGACACATCTAGGGTCACTGGCCATCATAGAATTGCCAGTTTCAAACTACATTTCTAACAGAAATTCTTTTAATTTATATACTATAATGACAAGATGATCAAGATTGTTCAAGTTAAACTTTGGCATGAAGAGCAGGTCACCCCACAATTATAACCCAAATTTTTTAAGATCTTGCAATTTGCATTCAAGATTAGTCTCACAGCATTTTCGGAAAGTCGCAATTTTCTTGATCAAAATCAGTTGTTTCAAAAAGGAAGTTGGTACTAGTTTAGTAAAATCTATCCACATTCCTTAGAAGGAAAAGAACTAGTGAAAATTATTACAAATTTTGGCATAGTAAATCATGGAGTTCTATTAAATAAACAAAAAGCATACGGTATGAAAATTGAAAATAAATTCTGTCCAAGTTTTTTGTACTCCCCAAAGTTAAACATGGGGTAACACAGGGTTCTCCTCTTGGACTTGTCTTTTTCTTCATTTATATCAATGATTTGGTTTCCTCCATACAAATTGATATCATAGAATGGAATTATCCCATTTGTTATTATACACCATACAAAAGAAAAAAAATCTTGACACAATCTCTCACATCATTATTGTGTCAATGGATGCAAAAAAAAAAGTATTTACTACCTCTCAATTTCCAGAAATAATATCCTACGCCTTAACTCCTGAGGAAATGGTGTGATAACAAATGAAATCCTTATAATTCAGAAACTTTTTAAGATGAGTGAAGGACAAGTGGACTCCTGTCAAAGGATTTTTACAAAACTTAAATTATCATGTAGAGATACTTTCAAAATTCTGTCTATTTGATAGTTGACAATCTGAGGTACAAAGAAGGCATATAATAGCTTGGGGCCAATAACTAGAAAAAGAAGTAAAAACTCTGAGGGTCGGCCCATAAACCTTACACATAATATCTTACACAGAAAAAACTTTAGCAACCTTGCAGTAAAAAAATAGACAATATTTGAGGTTATGGGGATAAGATCTATAGCAAATTGTTCATGCAAAATAAGTACCTGATGCATTAAAAAAAAAAATTATAAATGCCTTGCTATAAATCCTTTTTATTTTCTAAAACAATTCTTTGAAAATGACATTGCACTATGATAAATGTATATATGTATAATAATTTATTGTAGCACAAAAATTTTCTTTTAATTCATTATTCTAAATTATATTGTATCTGTTAAAAGGTTGACCATGGTTTTTTTCTTTTTAAGTTTGCATTATTTTGTGCACAACAAAAAAGTAAATTTAAATTCAAATTCAAATATAGCCAAAGTGAAGTTATACTGAGGGTGTGTAGGTGGATGTTGAATATTTGTTGCATTTACTGTGTAGTTGTATTATTTATGCTAAAGCACATTTAGAGTTAATGCTGGGTCATTTATGTATTTTTATATACTGCCTATTTTTTATTTATTGAATTATTTTGTGAGTTAGCTTGATGAATCAGATAGCATTCATACTTTTTTCTTTCAAACATTAGTATTATTTTAAAAGGTTACCTTCATTTGTGTACATAAGAGTTGTAATATCTTCGTTTCATCATTTATGACATTTCCAATTCTGCAGGACAAGTTCATAGCGTCCGCATCATTAGACAACAAGCCCAAGGCCATGTATAACGGTCTATCTTGCCACTATTTTCATTTCAACCTGGGTGGATTTTATTGTTTTTCCAATTTTTATTCGACCTTGCGGCGAGTTTCTGTTGAAGTTCGCATTTCTTCTCTAAAATTGCTGAAAGAATTTTAAGTAAGGCTTATTTAAATTATACCAATAGAGACAATTACAGTTACTTCGCAAACCAGTTTTTCTATTGCTGATTTCTAACAACAATTCACCACTCTCGGACATAGATATAGCAGGAGGTTCGCCTTGTCCCATTCCTGATGTTCCTTCATTTGCTATCAGTGGTGGTGCCTTACAAAATTTAAACTGTTAATTTATTATGTAATTAAAAACACAAACAATTGAATACCTCTTGTAGCTTGGTTTCGTCATTAATTTCTTGTTCCACTTTATCTTCACTAATTTGTTTTTGTCTTAGTTTTTCTCTAATAACTGACATTCTTTGCAATTCAATCTTGACATCTGCTTCTACCCTAGTATTTATTATCGTGTAATTGTGTATGATTTGCTTGACTAACCATCTGCAGAAAAGGAAATTATGAGACTTTAACTATCAAAAGTTTTTTTTAACAAACCTGTAGCCTCGTAGAAGGCGTCGGTCTAACTGTGGTGTTTTTGAAGTCTGGCAGACAGGAAGAGCAGTGCAAATTTCTACTAAAGTCGGGCATTTCTGTTTATTGACTAACGATTCTAATCTTAAAAGTTCAACGATATCAATTTCGTCTAAAGCATCTGGTTTGTCTTGTTTGTTAGCAAGTCTACAAGTCACAGTGTATTATTATTATTATTATTAATTTATTTTATTTTATTTTTTTATATAAGATTGATGACTTACACTAGAACAGGCTTTCCTGATAATTTCTCATTGCACAACAAAGACTGTAAGCTGTTCCGTGATTCTTCTAGTCTGGACGGATCACTAGCATCAACAACAAAAATAACTCCATGAACCTGAAATGGTTAAAAAAAGAAAAAACTTGTCAAGAATTTTGAATATAGTCCTAAATAGAAAAGATAGAAAACAAAAGATTCTGAAAATAAGTAAATTGTGGAATTTATCAAAAACAAATCATACATCATGGAAGTAGCTGGTCCAAATTGCTCTTATTTGAGGTCCTCCTCCTAAATCATAAATAAAAACATCGTATCCTCTAGTAGCCAATTTCACCACTGAGAACCCAACAGTGGGTACAGTTGAGTTGACAAAATCTACATTAAAAAAAAAAAAATCAAAATTAGTTTAGTGGAGTTACTGCTACTATGCATCTGTCATACCTCCAGTCAACCCTTTGGCCACTGTAGTTTTACCAGAATTATCGAGACCAACTAGCAACAGGACGATTTTTCTGTAATAAACTCAGCAATAATAGTTTAAAATTAACAAATATTTATTAAAAAGACAAACCTTCTAATGGGCACTGCTCTCATTTGTAAACAAGGGTCACAACAGTTTCCCATATCCCATTCATTCGTACTCCAGACTTGGATATGTCAGGAAAAGCAGTGTAAAATGGGAGATTTTAATAAATCAACACTCGTTTATTATAATCCACTAATAAACTTGAAAAAAGCAAACAAAAAACAAGAAAGTAGTCATTATTTGCTTCATAGAATTCGTCAAAAAAGAAAAAATTGAGTTACTGAAAATATATATAGTTATGTGATAGTTAATAGTCATTATTCGCTTCATACAATTCGTCAAAAAAGAAAAAAAATGAGTTTCTGAAAATATATATTTATGTGATAGTTTTGTAATTTTATGGGCAGACGTTGCAAGAAGAAAAAGGGTGACCCTTCGAATATTGTGAATAACATTAAAGTCCAAATATTGTTTTAGAAAAAGAGAAAATGCTATAATTTTATAAACAAAAGTTCTAAAGTAAGGCCGAAGTCAATATTAGTGGGAATATTCAAGAGCTAGGAGATTTATGTATATTTGTGAAGCTTCTGATGTCAGCATAAAAATGCCCCTTCCTGTCACAAGTCTTTTAAACAAAAATGACGTAACGATAAAAATCTCTTACCTTGTCGGACGATCGGCAAAAAACAAAATAATGTGAGCTTCATCTGGAAAATATATTTATTTTTTTAATAGAGAAAACCAAAGCGTACCGAATCGAAAAATCGATGAGACAGGAAAAAAATGACAATGTTTTCAATGTTCGATTCGAAAGCCGTTTGCCATGTAACGGAGACGATCGTTTAAACTGGAATTACACCATGGCATCAGTATTTTTATATTTTAAACATTCGAAAGAATATAAATTGATTGCAAAAATAAATTGAAAAATAAAACTCCAACAGTAAAACTGGTAGAAAAGAAGACTTGTACGTAATCAAAACAGTTTTTATATATATTCAAATTTCCAATTTTAAATTTCCTCACAATTTTCTTGACATGCGATGAAAATAGTCAGGTGATTTTTCGAACACCGTTAAAATTTGAATCTGTACAAATATATAGAAAAGCGAATTTTACTAGAAAAATCCGCGTTCTCCTGAGGCTAAAAATGCAATAAAAAACATGATTGAAGGAAAGTGGTCGTTGGTAGAAAAGCTCTAACATATGAAGAGCAATGTCGATAGGTGGCCTTCGAAGGCCATGCGAACACTTTCTGGGTCTTTCTTATACGACCCCACCACAATTAAACTGTTAAAGCTATTTTTATTACTACTTTCATTTTTGTATAACATGGCGTGTAATAAAATTCGATATTTCTGGACTAGAATATATGAACTAGAATAGAAAAAAGAAAAAAAAACTTTAGAAGTAGTTGCTATGAGGTCGTCGTTATCGAGCTACATGCTAAGTTCGACTTTCCAGTGCAGTGTGTTCCGTTCACAATCATGTCCCTTATTCGGCTCGTCCGTGAAAGAAATACTAAGAAAAAGGCGCCTTAAAAGTATTCGACATAATAGGGGTTATTGCGTTAACGGACAGGAAATGGCTCTTAGTGTATCACGACGGGTGGAAATGTACTAGGAAAGAACGTAGCCACAGGTGTTAGAAAACGTGGAAGAAGGGAACAAATTATCCTTTGATACCACACTGATGGACAAAACAAACGCACCACCCTTGAATTTTAATGTATTGTGGTTTATTCATATTTTGCGTACCAAAAATAGGCCTGGTTGTAAAAATAAGACAATTAAAAAGAAAACGTTTATTTTTTACGAGGGTTCGCAACATCAGAGGTCATATAAACCCTCGGGGTGTCGGAGTTTTTGAAAAAAAAGCCCATTTGTAAGTATGTCGGGTTCGAATGCAGGGCTGCTGGATTGGAACCCCGGACCTTTACCTTACAGTGATGAGCGCCGTGTCTACGCCTAAACCGTTGCGGCCACCGACGCCCTAAAACATTTATTATCTAATTCTAAAAAAACAATTATTGAATAAAACTTGTCCTTAAGTTGTACCAAATGTGTTCGATTAGGTTCCAATCTGGACTTCGAACTGGCCACACATAGCACTCAAATCCAACCTCATTCATCCACAATACATAGTGTTCTATGGGGCATTATCCTGCATTAGCAAGAATCTCATCCATGTGGCAGACAAATGGCACTACATGTTCTTCCATCATATTTTGTCAGTACATATGTGAAGTTAGAGATCTTCCTAGCACAACAATACGATTTCCCACAACATTAACATTTCCCACAATTACCACGTAAACGTATGAAAAGAATATGGATTAGAGATGCCAATGGGTAGCTTTCTCTATAACGCCCGTAATGCCACAAACACAAATTACCCAATCTGCTCGTTGTATATAATACATGTTCAGTTGTAGATACAAATAAATTAAGAAAAAAATATCTAGGACAATAAAATAAAATGCGGGATCGGACAAAACAAGATAAAACTTATTTTTATAGTTACAAAAATCAAAAGACACTTCCAATAAAATACAATTCCGCACTTTGTAAAATCATTAAATATAAATTTTCATCGTAATAATAAAATTTTCATTTTTGGCTATATTCGCTGGTTTTTTCTCTGATGTTAGGTGTTTCACTTAAAATTTCATACATTTTCTGGATTTATCTAAATTAAACGTTATGAAAACTATTGGAAAGCTGGATTGTTCGACTTTCGGGCTATGTAAACAACGTTGGATATAATTAGTGGAAAAAAATTAAACCAACGAAAACTCCTTGTTATTTAGTTCTAATTTATTTACGGAGGCCAAAATTGTGTCATTGTTTGTAGTTTAGAAGGTTCCAAATTACTCTAAAGTTTCCGGTGGTTGATCAGTGTTGTTTCAACGTTATAGCTATTTTTGAGGAAAATGAAATATTTTTTTATTTTTCCAAAATTTGTATTTAGGGGATTTTGAGATTGGGGAGCAAAAAACGGACTTTGTTTCTTGCTGAAATAATATTTTAACTATAAGTAAAAGTGGCCAAGCAATTGTTTTTAAATAGTAAGATTTCCTCTTGTAGTCTGAGGAGGCATTTTTTAATTTAGTATATTTTTCAGAAAAATAGCTTTCCGACAGCGTAAAAATATACAAATTCTGATTAGAAATCGCTTTATTTTTGACGGGCCAACTTACAGATGTAATGCACCCTGCACATCCATAGGTATCATTAATATGTGATCCTTGTTCGTCCTTTCCTCAATCCATCTTTACAGCCATTAAGGCCTTCAACGTTCCTTTTTTGATGGGTTGATCTAAATTGTTTGTGTGGTAAAATTCTTAAAATTCAAAGGGGTTTCGGTGGCTGCAACCGTTTAGGTGTGAACACGTCGACTCATCACTGTAAGTTAAAGGTTGAGATAGAAGAGAAATTGAAATGAGGGTACAAACAAAGATAGACTAAAAGAGAAAAAGTACTACATTCAAATAGGATATTTTTCAAGAACAGCGACACCCCTATGACCTCTGTTGTTGCGGACCCCGTTCTGAAAGAAAAAAAGTCTTTGAAACACCTATGTTGCGACGTGATAATGGACACTAATTTCCTATGACATGGCCCCTCCAAACTTAATTTCATGCGTTGGGAAGAAGGATTTAACCCGTTTTATTGTCCTGTTGTTTGATATATCATTTTTTCCTTTTCTTTGTAGGTTTAAAAAGCCACAAGTAAAGGCAAGCAACTGTTTCCTTTCCTGAATCGACTAGCAGCAAAAATTAAGACCGTAAACTTTAAAATACGCGAGATAAACGCAAAAACAAGAAAACATGTTTATACTCGACACATTTTTCAATGCTTCAAAATTTTACGACCGGCAACTTCCACAGTCGAACTATTTTAATGTAGAAAATAAATGACCCCGAGCATTTTAAAGATGAAATAAGTTTCAACAAGTTATTTTTGTTTACTGCGGTAATGGCGGGCTTTTGTTCTGCTCTATAACTTATGTAGATCGATGACCTTTGCAGATTTCACTCCTCTTTGCTTTTGCCCGTTATCTGGATTTGAACTGCCCGAATTAATGAAAATTTAAGAAAGTAGTTTCTGGGAAAGCTAATGGAATGAAGATAATACTTAAGAAGGGTTGCAGTGTGCTTTGTTTTCATGCATATAAAAACAACCGTATTTGTGCAATCTAATCTGTCCTACTTAGAAAACGCATCTCTTCACCCAATACACGTTATCAATATGAATCATCCATCCGATTTTCGAAATAATATTTCTAACTTTATTTTACATCTAGATAGGAATTTTTAGAAGTTTGAGAAATAGAAGCAAAACGTAACATATTAATTAATCTTATCACCCATTTATCACAAACTATTAATGATTAATTGCTCGATTAGCACTGGCTTTTTCGAAATGTATTTTTTTTAAATCTCAAACTCTACTTAATTGTGAAGCAAAGTTAATAATTAAATTTAAAAGTTTTTCTACTATTTATTTCTAAAAACCTATTAGTGGGAAAATGCGTATAGTCTTGTCTAACAACTGTTTTATATGAAATATACAAACTCAAGGCATATAATATATATAACCTTTATAAACTATTAATCAACTACGCATTGGTAATGAGTTTTTAATTCGGCAATTAGATTAGAAAATTAAACGGGTTTGACTTGTTCAATTCGTGTTACTGAATTGTTTTAAATTTTTCACTGACATCATAAATCTTTTTAATTTGGTCTTGAATTCACCCTGAAGATGACCAAATGGCGAAACACGTCACGCTGATAAACCAACACCCAGCGAGGATAGGCAGAAAAAATGATTTTATGGTCATTTAAAGATTACGTTAGGAATAACGACAGTTGAAATAGAAGAGATAAATAGAAAGAGAAAAACAAAGATAGACTAAAAGAGAAATAAGGCATTGAATGATAGAGAAAAAGAAAGGGAGGGGTGAGGAAGAAGGAAGAGAGAGAGAGAGAGAGAGAGAGAGAGAGAGTGAGAGAAAGAGAGATGGACTCTTAATTAGGTTAGTTGCATAATATGTGTAAAAGGTGATGGAGGAATATCGAGTACTAATTGAATGAATGGTATGTAAATATGTCCTAACTAACCCTCAATTAGGTTAGTTGTGTAATATGTGTAAAGATTGTGTTGAGAGTGAATGTATTTATTAGCATGTATGTGGGTTGTGGAGGGTCAATGGCAGAATATCAGTAGCCCATCGACCCTCAATTAGAAGCGTGATGGAGGCATACCAAGACCATCACCCAAAATGAATGAATGGCATGTAAATAGGAGTGAATGAATATAAGAATGGACGTGAGTACGAATGGGATTGGAACTGAATGCGTTGGGTGCTGAATTGGCCGCATCTGGAGCACAACTTCGTTGGCTGGACTCTCTACAGCCCTAATTGAGTGAATGGTATGTAAATTGGAACGAACGTATTTAAGAGTAAATAAGAGTATGGATGGGTTTGGATCCAGAAACTGCGTTCAGTGCTGAATTCACCTAGCTTTTTGACAGCACCCGGAGCTCAACCTCAGGGGGCTGGACGGATCAGACTGAGATCCGGCCTCTGACTGCCAACTACCGGGGTGAGTGATTCTCGAGTCTGTTGGCAGTAAATAGGAAAAGCTGGAATTGCCGATGGACTAAGAGAACGAATAGGCTCAACCCGTCACGTGTATGTATGTAAGTACATGTGCGGTTTTGAGCGTATATAAATCCAATCCAAATATCTATCTGAAACTGTATTTTCAATGCAAGCGTATTAAGTGAATTTTAAGTGTTTATTTTTCAAAAAATGTAAAAATGTAAGAAAACAAAATCCAAAAAAAAGCGATTTAAAAAATCGCTAAGAAAAATATGTATAAGGGATTTTATGTGCTTTTAAATGCCTTTGGATGAAGAAATATTTGCTTTTTATAGCTTTTTCTGCCTGTGATCGAAAGATCAGCAAATTGATAGTGCTTTATTGCATTTAGTTTTTAGAAAACCTTACGTAATAAATGAAAATTTTGTCTTTT